CTTAAACACAAAGCAGCATTTATCAAATACATTTGAAAGAATGCTAATAATCTAGTCGCTCACAGAAGATTTCAAAAACTATGTACAGCCCAGCCAGGGTGGCTCAGCAGTTGAATGTCAATCTATGATCTAAAAGATTGAGGTTTGATTTCCGGTCAGGGCACATGCCTGGGTTGCAGGCTCGATTCCCAACGGGGGATGTGCAGGAGGCAGCTGATCAATGACTCTCTCATCACTGATGTTTCCATCTCTCTCTCCCTTCCTCTCTTTGGGGAAAAAAAAAACTATGTACATCTACAGTTAAGCCAAACAGAGAAGGACAGAGTTCAAATTGGGCCAGGCCCTGGGCACTCCCATCTTTGCCATCATTTATAGTTTTTAGTTATTTGTAACGCCATGGATTTGGGGGGAAAAGGAATTGTAAAACTTAAATCAACTAAAATGACCTTTTTTCCCTCTCCTGCCAAGTCCCACTCATTATTAAATGTTCAGTTCAAGCTCCACATCCTCCTCAAAGGACCCATGGTTCTCCCTCCTCTCTAACCTAAAGGGGCCACAAATCAAGTAGTTCAGAATTTCATTTTCAAAAGAGGAAATTACAGCCTGCAGAAGTTATAGGACTTGACTACATTGCTATTAAGTGACAAAGACGATTCTCGAGTCCAGGTCCAGTATACTTTCTACTCAATCAGGCTGTTTCATGTAATAATGCAGAAATGCTCATGATGTATAGATATTTTCTGAGGTCCCATTCCTAAAATTCCAGTCCAACCTCCCAGTGCAAACATCCTCCATGGCATATTCTTGGCAAACTGTTTTCACTGTCTGCATAAATTAATTAAAAGTGAGGGACAACCCGGCCCGGCCGGGCGGTTGAGGGTCGACCTAGGATCCAGGCAATTGGGGTTGGATTCCCGGTCAGGGCACATGCCAGGGTTGCGGGCTCGATCAATGACTCTCTCATCATTGATGTTTCTATCTCTCTCTCTCCCTCTCCTTTCCTCTCTCTGAAATCAATAAAGATGATATTAAAAAAAAAAAAATTAAAAAAAATAAAATAAAAAATAAAAGTGAGGGACAAAGAATTACAAATTATGTTATTCCTTTTTGAGATGGATCTTTTATAAGTCTTCATAATTTACCCCTTACTGAAATTTGCTTCCTCCAAATGTCTACTTATTAATCTTAGCTCTGCCTTTTGGGACTTAAAATAAAAAAAATCAAAGAACTCTTCATATATTTGAAAAGCACTCTCATGCTCTTCCTCTAGATCACTGACTTAAACTATGTACACATTTAGCATTTATTCAATTTTTCTTACCTATTAAAAACAGAACACAAAAAAGTTAAAACAGTAGTCAGGGCAGAGAGTCTTGCATTAATTGGCCTTCTAGCTCTGGTCTAAATACACTATGTAGATATTTAACTTAACATCTTAAGATGAATCATCTGAACGTCTAACAGACATTCCAAACTTAACATGTCCAAAACTGATCACTCTTGTCTCCTAAACCTTCTCCATCTGCAGACTTTCCCATCTTAGTAGATGGCATTCCCATTCTTCTTTCTGGTTACTCATCTAAAAACCTTGGGAGTCATTCTTGTTTCCTCTTTTTCTTTTCTATCACACATCTAAAAAGAGTCAGGAGCCCTACCCGGTTTTGCTCAGTGATTAGAGCGTCAGCCCAGGTTCAATTCTGGCCAAGGGCACGTACCTCAGTTGCAAGCTCAGTCAGAGTACGTGGGGAGGCAATCAATCAATATGTCTCTCTCACACTGATGTTTCTCCCCTACCCCCCCCAAAAAGCAATGGAAAAAATATCCTTGAGTGAGGATTTTAAAAAAAGTCAGGAATTACTGTTAAGTCTTCCTTCAAAACATATCCAAGATCCAACTGCTTTTCACCTCTTCCAATACCATCACCCTAGCCTGAGTCAGCACTCTCTCTCACTTGGATCACTACAATATCCTTCTATTAGTCTCCTTGTTTCAACCACTGCTTCCTCCACACACTCTGATCTCAACAAAGAAGGAAAAGTAACGCTTTTAAAATTAAAGCATGATATCACATTTATCTCTCTGAAACCTTCCAATAGTTTCCCAATCCAGACAAAATAAGAGCCCCTGTCTTCACAAAGTCTCACACCCTCTGCCCTCACTTACCTCTGGCTTAATCTACTACTATGCT